TTAGACTGATCTTCAAAATGAACCAATTCGGTAATTTTATGGTTATTCCAACATCTATAACTTCCCCAAGTCGAAATCAAATCCGAAATATAAGGAGGTTGATCAGGCCTAATACTGCGAACAGGTGCTGGCGGGTGAGACGGTAACAAATTATCTTTATCTAAACGGATAGAAGACCCCAGTCCCAAGTTATATCGGTAGCCTGATTTAATAATTTGCAAACCACAAAGAATAGAATACCATCCAAAAGATTGATAAGGTTTTGTGGTAGCATCAAGAATGTGATCATCTTTAAAATAGCGAGCTTTCATAACCTTAGCAAAAAGAGAATTGGGATGTCGTAAGAGACGCCAAGCTTGTTTAGCAAGTAAAGAATCATTAAACTTCGAAAGATCTTTAAACCCGAGACCACCTTCCTTCTTTGATCTTTGAAGCTTCTTCCAAGCAACCCATGGTATGCCCTTGTTATTATTGCTTTTCTCCCACCAAAATTGCATAAGTAAAGATTCAATATCCGAAACAACGCCTTGTGGAATTTTAAAACAAGACATGGTATAAACAGGCATAGCCATTGCTACTGATTTAAGCATAATTTCCTTCCCTGCTGAGATAAGGTTTTAGAACTCCAACTGCTAGTTCTTTGCTGAACACGCTGTTTAATGTAGTCGAACATTTCTGATTTTTTCCTCCCAAATTCTTCTGGTAGACCCAAATATTTGCCACCCCCGCCATGGTTAGGAATTTTTAGAATTGCCTTTAGATGGTTACGGAGTCTACCATTTATTCTAGAACCAAAAGTTATTAGAGATTTACTTGTATTGATCTTTTGGCCTGAATAATACTCATAAACATCAAAAATATCTCGTAAAGCTTTACAATTTCTGCTATTAGCTTGACAAAAGAAGAGAGAGTCATCGGCAAACTGAAGATGGGTAATAACCGGAACACCATTACCTATACGGATACCCCTGAGATCTCCAGTGGCTGTGCTTGTTTTAATTAGGTGACTTAAAATATCCGCACATAAAATGAAAAGGTATGGTGACAAGGGATCACCCTGACGTATTCCTCTCTCCGGAACAATCCAGCCTTGAGGAGATCCATTAATGAGAACAGAATATCTGACTGATTTTACCAATGCCATGATCCAGTTTATCCAAGTGGTGGAAAAACCAAACAATTTCATAGTTGTTTCCAAAAAATCCCATTCTACCCTATCATAAGCTTTACTAACATCTGTCTTGACCGCCATATAACTTTGAGAAACTCTTTTTCTAACTTTAAGAGAATGCATAACCTCATGAGCAATAAGAATATTGTCCGTAATCAAACGACCCGGAATAAAAGCCGCTTGAGATTCAGAGACAATAGAACCTAAATGATTTTTTAATCTAGAGACCAAGCATTTAGAAATTATTTTATACAAAACATTGCATAAGGCAATGGGTCTGAAATCAGAGAGAGTAGTTGGGTTATCAATTTTTGGAATGAGGCATATATTGGT